TTTTCATATAAATGGTAACCTACATACTATTGCAATTTTGAAATTTTTTTGATGTTTAATACATATATATTTAAAGTATGTAACATAGATTTCTAGCTGCACTAATAAATTAATTTAAATAAAAATGAATGGTTACATATAGTATTTTTATGAGTATGTTTCTACATAACTAAATTATACAAGCATAATTAATCAAATTTATTCATATGCCAACTTATCGCCTCAAACATTTTCATATCAAACTCTCAATTAAATAAAAAATAAGCTTTTCAAACCGATCCAAAAGTTTTTTCCAATTTATTTGTATCTTCGGTTTGGTTTGGTTTGCGTCAGCAACTAATAAAGAAGTGTCAGAAGTCAAATTCTTCAAAAAAGGTTCAATATAAATAAATTTTAATTTGAAATTTAAATAGAAAATTATTGTACCTAAAGGTGGAGTGTAAGTTATTTAAATGTAGCTATTGGCATTTAGTGACACACCCACCACCCATTTATGAATAAGTGCTATTGTGCTTAGTATATACATCAATTTTTTTTCTTCTAATTGGATTTTGTTCGCTTCATTTCATATCACAGATTTTGACATATAAGATTGGCTTACATTAACAGCACAGCTGAAGCTGTACTTGTAACTATTCTGCAAAGACCAGACCACTAGACTGAGTGGCTGTGGCTAGTATTAACGACTAATTGAAGTCCAATCTTACAGTATAGAATTTGCATGGTTTTTGCACTGGATTGGTGCCCAAACTGTTTTGACATAATGGAATATTCAGTTTTAACGGCGGCATAAAGTAGCAAATGGTGTCAGTTACTTAATGCATGGGAATAAAATAATTGGTTCATTTTAATAAAAAAAAAATAAATAGAACTGAATCAGTTTGAGCTTAGAACATGACATACAGTCAGCAAGATGACTAATGAAATCAGTTGACAGTTTAGGGCATAAAAATTTCATTTGAACTGTGAGTGCTTCAAGATACAGAATATTACTCCAAATAGGTTAGGGTTTTTAATCTAACATATATATGGCACCTCTCGCCTCTTTAAAGTCTGACGTTATTGTTGTTTGGAGGTGCTTGGTAAATTTAAGTATGATAAGATTGACATACAGCCCCAAAAAAAAGTTATCAAAAATGTTATAAAAATGTTTTTATGATTGTAAGTGCGTACAGACTATATTACACATGAAGATTTAATTATTTGAAACCTATTAGCAAAGTAGTTGGTGCGGTTGCTCACAGTTGTTTGTAAACATATGATACTATCACTTCACTCCTGAGACATTCAGTTGGTTTCTACAGCTGATTGGACAGGAAAACTTGAATAACTAACCAATGGTGAAGATCTTGTACATTATCATCAAAAGAGGCGAATTATTAATATTAAATATGTACAGTAAAACAATAAATAAATAAACCCAAATGAAGAAGTAGATGATAACAATGACAAGTAAAAAGTATTTGGCTAGAATAAAAAGTGATCACTGATTAAGAGATTTACTTTACGGGTTTCAACCAACATATGCTTTAAAGAGAAATCTGCAGAAATAAAAATGAATGTATTAGAGTTGCCAAAAGATATGAAGTTAGTCCCAAAAGTTTTCAGCGAAACTATCAAATTGCGATGTAAATGCTTATAAGCAGAATATTTATTACACATTAAATCCACAAGTATGGAGAAGGAAATACCTATACTACTTCATAGATTCATAGATTGGGTCTATCATTTTTGGCAGTCTGTCTTTACTAACAAAGTTATGTTACAGTTGTTAAGCTAAACTACTTTAATTTTGAACATAGTTAGTATTTTTAAAGGTTGATTTTCGACGTTCGTTGCAATAATTCAAATTGATTAATTTATCTTATAGCTTCTTTTAGTCAAGACTAGATTTCCTGCAATATTTTTAAACGTACTGAGTTGATGTTGTGTATGTGATACATGATCTGTTGAGATTTATATAGTTATAAAGTTTTTATATCCCTATAGCTTCCATATATGTCAAATCAGTTATACTGTTATCAATAATTGAAGAATTTACTCAAATATAGTTACAGTTTTCATATAAACTAAATTTAAATTATTTGATATTCAAATTTGAATATTGGGATTATTTGTTTAATTCATAATACAACTATTTGTATATTAACTATTATATATTGGTGTATTTTACTTTGGAACTAAAAACAAAGGCAAACAACAAAAAAGTATATATAAATTATTTTTAACCAATAATTTATAGCGCAATGGAATGGATCATTCTTTTTTAATTACAAAATTTACTAGAATATAACGGTTGAATCTATTATAACATATGATATGAAATTAAAAAATTGCTTCAAAATTATTTAAATTCTGTTATAAAAATATTTCACTATTACAATTATTAGGAACTTTTTCCACCAGGCTGTAAGCCGATTAGCTTACTCCTCGAAATATCAAGGTTTAAAGTTTTTAACTGTTTACATAAGTTGGTTTTCTAGTGCCAACTAAATTATGTCATTCCTAAGTAGATAGCTAGGTCTGTCTTCTTCTTGTTGTTGTTTTAATTGCAGTGTATATTGTAGTTTGTTATTATGTGGACTATGGAGTATTTGTTTTAAGAAAACTTTTTCATTTATGCAAATGTCATAAAAAAAGATATTAGAAACTATCTTATTTTACAGTGATCACAAAGGAATTGCTTAGATTAATTTGGGCAAGATATATATTAGCTACTGATTATAAGTTACGGAATCTTTAATAACTATATTTCACTATTTAAATTAGATAGTATATTTAATAACACTATTTGAATAAAATAAATTAAATAAATGCCTTTAATTATTTTAAATGCAGTTTGATTCGAAATTATAAAGACAATAAGTCGCCAATATTATTACAAAAGAAATGAAAGTTATTTAATTATTACCTAATTTATTTTTCATATTAAAATATAATATACCTAGAGAAGGTCTTAGAACCTTAAAAAACTTAATGATATGTTATTTTATAATTCTAAGTATTGTACTCAACTAATTACAAATAATACATAAATAAATTAAATATTTATAGAAATAAATTTTTGTAAAGTTAGTATAAACGCAACTAGACTAATTTATGAACTATTTTACACACAATTAGCAATATATTAAATGTAATTTAAATTTTTGCTAAGTTTACTTAAACAAATTTAAATATATTATATAAAACATTATAAAGTGAAAGGTATTTGGAGACCTATTATGTTAACAAAAAAAAAATCTCTGGTAAAGACCCTGTAATATATGCTTATTTTACTTGAAACAACTTTTTTGTTGTTGTTAGTACTCATATTGTTGCTGGTTGCTGGCATCGTAGCTGTTGTTGCAGTTGCAGTTTCACTTGTGTGTTTGCTATCAGTGCCTGACATTGTAAACATGTCAACAACATTTACTTTAAGCACCGTTGCAATGTTTGTACAAAAAAATATATATATAAATCAGTTATTGCTTGGAAATGTAGTTGAACTCCATTAAAATTAATCAGACTTCAAGAGTTTGAACAACCTGTGACATGAGCGTTGTAAAATTAAAACCATCGTCAGTTGTCAGAGATTAGCATCACCTCAACTGAAGCCGTTTTACTTAGTTAATACAATACTTTGTTTAGTATATCAGAGCTCTGTTTCTAAGGTGAGCAAAATGGGTTTTCTATTGTTATGTTCAAATAGTAAAATAAACTTAACAATAGATTATTTTTTTTTAAGGCCAGATATTTTTCGAGAATGTAATTTAATTTGTATTGAAACTAGTTGATTTGCTTTGCTTGGCTAGAGCTATTGTCGCAAGTCTGTTTTTAGAGTATTAATAAACACTATACTAATAAATTTTAATGTCTTACAGGAATTTAAATATTAATTTTTTTATAAGTTTAACAAACGGATGTTCAAGGCATCCAATATTAACCTTATAACAAAAATACTTTAAATAACATTATTCGTCAAATTGCTATCATGACATATACATATATTTATAAATATATTTTTTTGGTTTTTGCCGAATTAATTTGAAATATTATCAAAATCAGAACAAAAGCAATAAATGAGAAATTATTGCCAAATAAGATGAAAGAGTATCTAGAAGGACACCTTAAGCCTTTGGGTCCAAGTATTAGTATATACACATCAGCTTTCAGGGCGGTCGTAAGTCACATGAAATCCCGTTTTATTTAGTTAGTTCAAAATTTGATGGAAGAATTTAAATATTATATAGATCGATACGGTTAAATTAATTATATAATCATCAAATTTTTGCGTAAATAAATTTTTTTTATTAACTGTATTAACTGATACAAACATTTAATTATGAAATGGAATACAAAGTTTTGACAATTTTATGTGTGTACATTCTCAAAACAGAACCTATATATAATATATAATATCTATATCTAGATACAAAGATCAAAAGGCGTTTGAAAATGTTTTAGAAAAATATAATAAAAATAAAATAAAGTCAAATATAATCGACAAAATTCGAAGTCGAGTTAATATCTGAAAAAAACCATGTTAGGATTGATAATGATCAATATTTTATAGCATCAAATAGTCCAAGATATTCTAAAGTTAAATTATGTAAAGTGAGAGATAATATAAAAAAATTATAAAATCATCGCAACATCTTACAAAATGTTATAACTGTTAGACAGTATAGGTTATGTCTTAAAATGTACTTATATATTATACTATAAGCCAAATTACAGGACTCTGCTAAACTAGGTATTTTCCATTTAAAACTTAGATATTTATTTAGAATGTAGATTAAGGCAAATATAAATAATTTTATATCTGGAAAAAATGACTTTAATATAAATGCAAAAATACTGCAAAATAAAATTTAGAGCCGAATATTAACTTACATTATTAGTTTCAGATATTTTATATGCAATATTTATGAAATTAAGTACTGTATTTAAAAGTTCCACTTATAAAAATATCATATTCAGATTGAAAGATTAAAATGAATTAAAAATAATTTTCTTACCATTGAATGTCCAAGGTATTCAGCTGCATTGTCTGATATATACAACAGCTTTCCATTCTGTGTTAGCATCATAAGAAATCCTGAGAGAGCCTAAAATAAAACAAATGAAAAATACAATGTTAAGACTTTTGACAATGCATTCATTATAATAACCTTAAAAAGGATTACTTAAGTATTTAATAGCATTTACGGCAAATAAAAAATTGTCAAAATATTGTCAACTTAGGTATCTCAAAAATTCTTATATATGTTATTGATATCCTTATGCATATTATTTCTGAGTATTTAAAGACTGTCATTATTTAGTGGCACACATAAACACATAAAATATGCATTTAAGTTGCTTGAAAAGTATTTGAAAGTGTTTAATAAGATTTGAGATGAAACTGAGTTGTGAGAATGCTAAAGAATTTAAAAGTGTATGAGTATGTATATACAACCTTTAAAACTAAATGCAATATATTTGTTTTCATTAGTCACATTTTTTTAACCCATTGAGTTTTTTTTATGGTAGTTGATTTTCATCAGCATCTAAATTTACTTTGGAGACTACCGCAATTACAGCAAGTAAGAGCAGCATTGCTGTATTAAAGTTCAGTGTAAAACAAAAATACAAGAAAAAAACTACACTAGTCACGAATGTAGATCAATCTAATATAGTCATACTGAAAATCAAGTGAGTTAGTGACTAAGTAAGTGATTGAGTGCATATATATTTATATTTCCTTACATATACGAGTAGTTGCAGTCATCATTGAAAAAATTGTATGCCTCACTCTGCAAGTGGTAATCCGCGAGCACAGTATTTTCATCTGCTCATATCAGTTTTTATGTCAAGTTATTTGCTTAAGTGAGCAGTTAGTTCTTCAGAAATCAGAAATGTTTTATACTTAATAGAGCTGTTTCCACTGAAGAAGTCATTTCATTAGTGTAAAAATACTGGGCATAGCAAAGAGTTTATTCGTCGCGTTATAGCGGTTAGAGTATCTAGAAGTTATGCGCTTCTATTTTGTGTATACATTCAGTATTATAGTTACTAAAACGATTCACTTTAAGGTTTAATTATTGAAGACAGACTGGTAAATCTAAATTTTATATGAAACAAAATAATATTCTTTGACAAGAAAGTGTTAATAGCACAAAATGTCTGCATGATAATGCATTTTGATATTTATACTATTTACATATTAAAATAGCAGGGAGGTGTTGCATTTTGATTTAAGAAATCATTTCTCTCCTTTGAAAAAATAAATGCATTACCTTAAGTATTTTGGGTTGAAGACATTTAGCTAAAGTAATTATTATGTATTTTTAATGCATTAAATATTAGGTTGTTCGGAAAGTAGTTTCGTTTTTTCCCGACAGAGGACGTAATCCAACTTCACACTTAAGTCGTTTAATTTTTTTATGCTTTAATGGCTTATATAGCAAGGTCAATTAAAAATTTCAATTTCCATGTATATCAGAATTTCTGATGTAACAGACCATTTTGAATATGTTCACATAAGGTGATATTTTTGTGTTCCTCAGTAGTAGTTTTAGATGCCTTACTAAAAAGCCGTAAACCGTATAGAAAATATGGTCTGATAACTTGCTTATTCAGAAGTATTCTATTATTCGGTTTAGCTTTTAGTTTTTTTGAAGAAAGTTTGAAGCTTATTCAGAGTTTGTGTACGATTTGTCTTTTCTGTTTTGCTGTGGTGTTTTCTAATTAAAATTTTGATAAAAGTCAGTTCTAGGTATTTATTTTTATAACTTCACTCAATTCTTGTATTATTGACTGCTAACATGCGTGGATTCTGCTAATGCAAATTAGTGATTAAAATTCTTTATCATAATATAGTTTTATCTTCATTTCTGAAAGTAATTGAGCGGCTTATGTATCGCAGAGGATTAAAAATAAGTGTTGCATCTTTATTAGTATTTACATGCATCCAAGTGTTATTAGCATAACATACATGACTAAGAAATTGGGTCTATTCCCGTCCTTATAAATTGAATAGGAGTTTCAATCATTTTTTTAAGTTTATCACCTTTTCTGACCAGACATTCAAGACATTTAATTGTGAAATTGCAATATCTTAATAGTTTAATATCAATTATTAGGATGTAGCACTAGATTATAACTTAAACATTCTATTATATATATTATTCTATAAATATTTTTGTTGCAATTATTTTCATTTTCATTTGAATTTATTTTATTTAAGATTCAATATGCATTATATGCATCTATCAATGTTCAAACTCATGAAAATGTGCTTTTCACCTGTAGGACAAAGTAGTAAGCAGTGAATATTTAAAATCAAAATATCTAAACTGTGGATGATAGAATAGACGTGACAGCTACATGAAGGCAATTTTGAAACCTTCAACTGTTTTTGGCAATTAAAAATTTTAGCATTAAATGTATCTATTTTAATCTTAGCTAAAGTTAAAAAACTAATGATTTTCGTTATTAAGTATTCTATTCGTTATTATATAAATTTCGCAAAAACTATATAAAATTATAGTACAAAATTAATTCTTTACTTTCAAAAAGTTCAAAATTAGTTCAAAATTTAGAGAACGGTATAGGTTTATGGCAAGTTAAACTTGCTATTCAGCGCTTACGAATTTTAAGATACATTGGTGTACTGAAATAGCCATGCATGCGCTTAAACATTTTCTGTTTTTTTCACATATTTTTATGGGTTCGCTATTTAGCTGTTTGAAGGGAATTTTTTATATATATATATGTTTTTATTTCGAACAAAGCTAGCGACGGCAGTCTTATGGGTGTATTTGGTGAGTCAAAAGCTCATAGCCTTGCCTTTAAGTGTTACCATTAACTAACTGTTATTGTTAAAATTTGACCCGACCTAACTCATTTCGAGTTTTAAAAGGTTTGTACTTGGAAACAAAAGTAATTAATAAATTTATGATTGCGCTGGAAGTTATAGTAGTTAAATTTAACTAAAAAAATTATACACAAAACAAATAAAAATATAAAATGAGCTAAAACTAACTCTAAATTACTTATAAAATCATGGTAAACAACTGAATGCAAAATTCACTAGAAAAAATAAAATAGTACTATAGATGCAAATAAGATTAAAATACTTGTTCCAATTCCAAAGCATTTATCAAAGTATTTCAATAATTTGCTTTTTGGAAATTATAATAGGTGTATCATATCATATCTTGTGCTTATTTTAATATTATTTACATTAAAATTAATTTTAAAGTTAGCTAATAATAAGGAGCTGGACTGGTAGGTCCTTCGGTCTGTGCTTATATTTATGTTAAAATTTTATCTAAATTTTATTTAATATGTCTTAGGGTAGGTGTAACTTTATTTTGTGGTAGTTGCCATTCTTGATTGCGTTGAAAAGGCTGGTATTGTTGGTTGGGTTGTTGTAGCAGTTTATGAGATGGCTCATGGTTAGAATATATTCACATTTGAGGCATGTTGGTTATATATCTCTTTTAGGAACTTAATAGTTACATAATCAACTATCGTTATATGATGTTTTTATATCTAGAGTGTTTCCGATATACGGCATTAACTCCTGGGTTCAGAAAATGAAAAAATCATCGGAAACGAGATAGGGATTGCAGTTTAAGTACTAACAGAGGTATAGGGTGTCAAAATAGGTTAGTCACTTTATTTCTAAAATTTATCTTCTTGTACACACCGATTTTTTTACGTTAGAGTAATTACAAGCTAGATCAAACTAAATGTTTTGGTTTTTTTGAAGCCACAATGTAGGTATACAGTGCAATTTCGTGCATTGCATTTATTAAGAATACTGTACTTTTTCTCTGTAAAAACATTTTATTGAAATATTAGACACAAATGTTGGGAAACAAATATTGGAAACAAATGTTGTGCAGACTTTTGTTAAAACGTTTACCCTATATGTTTCACAGTTGTAGAGCACATTTTAAAACTTTGTTTCGTATTTACCTTGACACTATTGTCTAAAAACAGCTTCTACAAGACAAGATCGCGGACGAATTCTTCTAGACTAACAACTGATATTTCGACTAATATTAAAAGTTAATATTAGACATATAATGTTATAAAGTATAATGTTATAAAGTAATATGGTTTAATCTCTTATTTTCCATTTTCCATAACACCATGGATTCTTGTAATAAAACTTTAAAATTTTTGTTGACTAATGAAGAAAAATAAACTTTGCGTGTCTCTTACTCTGATTAGAATAAAAACAATGAATTTTATGCCGATTTCAAAAGCGTAATTTAAGCCTCAAAACTGACTTCAGTATAAATTCGACACTAACTGGTTCATAATTCAAAAAATTGTCCAAAATGGCTTAGTTTGAAGTATTTATATTTCTGAAATCTGCCAGACATTTAGTTATTCTAAACATTTATTACTTTATTGAATTCTGGCTACTTGATTTCAATCCAACATCAATTTGGACACAAAAGGTTTCACATGTAGTAATACCTACGTACCGATCTATTACATGTAGACTAATTTGGAAAATCTATTTCAAGGTAGTCAGTTAAAACTAGATACCCACCTATTATATGTAGATTTTTTTCACAAACCAATTTTTTTATAATTTGTTAATGATTTGTTTAAGCATTGTTATAAAACTGTGGATAATTATTTTAGTTTTCACAACTCTAATTGGGTGAAAAAACAAAACTTTTAAATTTACTGTTTGAAAAGTTCAGATTACCCAGCTTGGAGCCAAAAGTAAAAATATGCTGGTATAAATTGGTAACAGAAAAAGTGTTACATCCACGGCAACCTAAGCTCTGTTGTTGAATAACAGTTACATTTATATCAGCAGGAGCAAAGGTCTCCCCATAATCAAAGCCTTTTGGTATACATATATCAAGCTATCAAGCATATTTTAGCAGTTAACAACGCGTATATGTACGAGTTCCTCAACCTCACCTACAACAAAATTATTAGTAGAAAAAAAGGTATTGCCACAAAAGTTGCGTACTATTTTCAGATATTTTTTCATACGCAAACAGCACACAGCACACAGTACATAGTACACATATTGTGGGAACAAACTGCAAAATTTTTTCTTCACTATTCTGGCACAGCAATTGCTGTAATCACATATAAAAAGCCGAAAGAAGGTGAAAACTTATAGCAGATGCAACTGATTGCTGGCTGCAACAAACTAAGCTTATTTAAAATAGTCTTGCATAGACAGCGATAGCCTGTTAAAGGAGAATGCAATGCGTACTGCTGCAATCTGACAGCGGTACCAAACCTCTGGCTGTAGTGAGTTTTATAGATAAAAGGAAACTATTTCTTGTAGTTAAATTAAAGGAAAGGGGCTAAAATATCTTAAAAATACTTTAAGATGGCTACATAAGTTGGGTAACGCTGCATTTTAGCTAACGTAGCTCACAACATTTGCGCGAAATGAAAATTACTGATTAGAAAATTCATATAATTTGACCAACAATTTAACGTTGTTTAATGGATTTTTAGAGGCGGATTATTGAGATTAAGTTTGTTAACTTGAACTAAGATATAAATGACGTATTGTTGCAAGCTAAGATGATTATGTTTTAAGTAATGATTATGACAATGATGATGATGATTATTGTGCGGAAGGTGGTAATAGAGGCGTTCTAGTGTTATTGTAGGTAGTTGTGGGTGCCTAAACAACTTGTTATTAAATCAAATTCAAGCGTCAAAGAAAATGCTAAAATTCAGATTGACAGTTGAAAGCAGTACAGACGTAATTAAATAAAGTAAAAGGATAACAAAAAAAAACAAGGAAAACACTAAAAATATTTTTAGATACATTTTTTTATAGAAAAACTATTGTGGTATTTTAGAAGGATATATAAAAATAGTATATTTTAAAATAAAACAAACTAAATTTTGGTTTTATCAAATGTATTTAGAAGATCGTTGAACAAAAATAAATGTTTGTTACGACACTGGACTGGTGCCGCATTTGGAAGTTTTCGGCGCATTGGGTATCACGATTGTTTGCTTACCTCCGACTAAATACCAAATTATTTTAATATTTCCACGATTGTTTTAGAACAATTTAAAAAAAATAATTGAGACTTTTTATTCCGAATCGCAAATATTGATGAAACATAAATATATTACTATATTCTGAAGATAAAAAAGAAAAAAACATTGAATTGAAAATTTGAAAGAATACTAAGGCCATCACTACAATTTTGATTGAGCAATCCCAGCTAACATGGACAACATCTACAGCTTCAAACTAGATGACAGAGTTTGCAATTGCATATTTCCTAACGACTTGGTTTTTGGTACTCGCTTAGAGTACCAATCTTCTTGGATTGCTATCCATCCTCTGGTAATCCTTTATCAACGAGGAAGTTAGCTTTGCCAGTGTTGTGCCAATATAAGTATCTTGACAGAGTCTGATCTTGTGTAACTGTAAGGCAGACGAACTTTCCAAAGGTTCGTAATGCTACTTTCTAAAATTCACTTCTATAATATTAATATCTGCCTTGTAACAGCTAAACTGATCGTTAAGCGTAAATACCTGGGAATAGATAAGAAAGTTTTGGAGGTGATATTGTTATTTAACACAATTTGAATGAATGATTGTTCATATATGTTTGTACCATTGCAATGCACTTAATGATTTACTTTATAAAATTGAAATTTTTAGTCAAATTAGTATTTATTTTCACATATTAGGTTGTTTCTCTATTAAAAAAAATGATTTGATGAGCCCATAAAATTTCCCCAATTTGATTTTTATTCAAGTTTTGAAAATTGTTTGATATTGATATTTTTTTAAATAATTCGAATATCTGAACATGAGCAAATAGTTGCAATAGTCAGAAGTTATATAATATTCACATATAACAATTTGATTATTTTAAAAACTCGTAGGGTGTAGACCAGGGCTGTCCAAAACACGGGCCGTATGTGGCCCGCGGCTAATGTTTCTGCGGTACATGTTTTTAATCTACCGTAATTACGCAAATTTTCTTTTGGTGTACTGATAAAACTCCATTGTTTTATTTTTATGATATATGTATTTATACTTCTTTTATTAAATATAAATTTAATGAACCCAGACTAAGTAAAAATAAAAGTTATTTAAAAATAAATTAATTTAGGTTAAAAACATCTTCATCTTAGGTTAACACATTTCATCGTATTACTTCATTTTATTTATGAACCGCCAAAAGTTATAAATATAAATTTTATTTCCTTATCATATTTATTGTTATATTTTATTGTCTTTTAAATAACATCTTAGTAATGTTATTAATTAAAATATAATATTCATACGAAAATAAAAAGCTCTATGCCGACTTTATAATTTACCTTGGAAAATCCTATATTTGGCGTTGATGCATGATGTGCGGCAATGTCATGTCTTTTGAAAACTGCAATAAAATTAATGTAAAATATATTAATAAATTGAAAATTTGTAATCATTAAAAGCAACTTAAAATATTAATTAAATATAAATAATAAACATATGTATTTTCTTGTAAAATGATGCTGTTTATTGGTATACATGCGCATTTCAAGACTGAATACCTTTTTATGCGGTTTGAACATAATTAAAATTACTTGATTGCAATTAGCATTAACATTTAGTAAATGACATTTTATGCGCTTCAAACATAATTAGTTATTAATCTTCTGCTCATAAACATTTTTAATTTATGACTTAAATATCATTTAAACACCTTAAATATATTTTATTATACAAAAAATAGTAATATTTTATCACACACAATATAGTAATAGATTAAATAATTAAAATAAATTTAAAATAAAATTACCCTAGGAAATGTAAAATTAATAGTAAAGGCTTTTTAATAAAAACAAGAACATAGTTCCTTTCGATTAAGTTTAAACACCTTTACCTACAAATAGTTATATTACATAGAAACTAATTAATTATATTATTATCACACTATATTCATCCTGAAGGCTTGTTTTTGTATACAATTTTAATAAATTCTATACTTAGTTACAGTGGTTGCGAAAATTATATTTTTTATTGATTTTTATTCCAGGACCAATGAATATCATAATAGAAGACAGCTTTAGGAATAGTTGTGATATATTTAGATCACTTATTTATTATAAAATACTATTAATTTATAATAGTTTTTTAATATCACACTTAAGTTTTACACAACTGATATCATTAGTTCAAAGTTTATTATAAAGATAAATTTATATGACAACTATAAATGAATTTAATAAGTATAACTACCACTATATAAATTCTACTCAATGAGTTTAAAACCCAAAATTTGTTCAACTTTTTTCAGACTGGCTATTGTACAAGTTACCACATTGGGATATCTATTTATCGATTATATATCTTTTTGCAGTTTTAAGTTATCAAATATCAAATTTGGTTTGACTATAAATATTTGAAAATGAATACATTTAGTAACAGTTTATGCCCGTTCTGAAGTTATATTATATTATACCTCTTGAGATAAATATTTAAAATTGCTTACAGAAAAATATTTTAAAATTATAGTTCGATTGGATTTATCACTGATACACTAGTATTAATTAAACTTATATTCAAACTAATATACAGACACAAGTCTTTATAAAAGCGATAAATAAATATTATTTACTGGAACAATATAATGGAATGTTATTCAGGAATATATTAATCTTTGTAGTTTTATTATTCCAAGTTGCTATGCTACAAACATTATGAAAAACTCGCAATATTATTGCAGTTGTTTAATACGGTTTATATTGCTAAATCAACATTGTCTTATCTAATATAACGTTTGTGTAATTGCCCAATACAAAAACCTTGAAAGTGATTAAAAATAGAATTAAATACAGTCCAACCTCTCTATAGCGAACCTCCCTATAACGAATTCCTCTCTATAACGAAGTTTTGTTGAAGACACAGCGATTTTCATATATTTGAACCTCTCTACAGCGAACCTCTTTATAACAAAACTCTCTATAGCGAATTCCTCTCTATAACGAAGTTTTTTCAGGTATGCAAAAATTTGTTTCTATAACGAATTTATTCAAATACAAGTTGTAACTTATGAGAAACTTCTTTGTATGCAAACTATTAACTTGTTAGAAGATTTGAATTTGCAAGAGTTCCTTAATAAGAAAAAAGTAAAAATGTCTGAACAAACTAAAATTACAGACTTACCAATATACAATTAATGTTTTTAATGTTTTGTATATATATATGAATAAAATTGAATTAAATATATTTTTAAAATAAATACGTACATATTCCTCAGTCAAATGCCAAAAAAAAAATTCAAACAAAAAAAATTTTGTTCAACCTCTCTATAACGAAGTTTTTTGTAGGTACCAACGACTTCGTTATAGAGAGGTTTGACTGTATATACAAATATATATATGAGTGATATTGACTAATACCAAATGTTAATATGACATTGATAACTGCATCATCTAATTAGTCCATCGTTATATTAAGAAATTAGTATACTGCTTCCATATTCTGTTCCAGTTCTTGAACGAATATGTGTTCCTTTATCCATTAACCTAAAAATTAGCTATGTCTCTTAATTGTGTAATTGGATTCTTACAAAACATTTTCTATATTATTTTACAGATGAAACTGTGCTAAAGATTAATTCTAGAAACGCTACATTTATCACAATTGTTATCTTTAGCTAAATTACCCTTATAAATGCACTTGAAGAAACATTGGCCCGCCAAGTTACCAATAACTAATCTGTCACCGCTCTGATTGGTTAGCGTATTGTTAGATAAGTAATATTGGTATTAGTTACAGTATAAGGAAGTTTCGTCTAGAGCAGTGTAGCGTCTAGTGAAGAAAGTTTGTTAGATATTATAACAACAAAGATTATTTAAATGACCTAGAACAGGGAACTGCTCTCCGAAATTCATTTCTATAATACTTATTTTTCTTTTATACAAAAATACAATATAATATCTGAAAATAGAAGTCCTTTCTATTTCCATTGAGTCAACAAGCAATTTAAGAATAAACAATAGTGAAGAAACAATGCTAAATTGAAAAACGTGTATGATAATAAATTTAATTATATTTGAATTATTACACCTATGAATTTAAAGAAAGGAATTCTCTGATATTTTTTTAATTGTTTCTCTTCTCCTGAATATTTGTTACCATCTCAACGTGATGATTCATTTCGAACTGTATTATTTTTTCATCATTATCCGGCTTTTATTAGCGCCTTACTGCCCCATTATTCTTAATGCTGGATGCTATCTATTTGGTTAGAGTCAACCGTTAGTAAAAAATAACTATTTGACCCTGTTATGTTCTATTCTATTTTAAACTATTAAATAGTTGTTTACTTTTTAATAAAATGCTAAGCTAATATAAATAAATTAATATTTTGAAATTATCTAAAGGTATAAAAATGTTTAGTTAATAACTGGAAAAACTAATTAACTGAGCTGTAATAAATGATTAAATAATTATCATTAAGGCAGTGTGAGATTGGAAGGTTGGAAAATATATATAAAATATTTCTACGTATTTATAAAAATCACACTAATTAGTGCTTGGAGGTGCATTCATTCATTAAAACTAGATATCTACACTTATTTATTGGCATTTAAAAAAATAAATTTTATATGCAATATTAAGAAAACTCTAAATACATTTAAATTAATTTTTAATTTGACGAAATCACCACATAAAAGGAAATAAATTCGTTATAATACCTAAGAATGCACGAAAGATGATCATGTTTCCGGAAATAAATACTAACACATAAAGTGCATAGGACATGAAGTGTTTAACAGTGCTTAACTTTGGTTCTTGTTCCTAAACTGAACCATCCTTCAACAATTGAGTATAAATTTATTGCAATAAATTGCATATTTTATTATAATAAAAGAATAATAAGAACGAAAAATAACAATAATAACAACAATAGTAAAAACAACTTCATTGACATTTATAAACAACCAAATAAAAGTTTGTGTTTGAAAATATTAATCTTTAATGGTAAGAATTTACAAACTTTTAAATTTGTGTATCTATAAAGATACACAGTAATGTACATAATATGCTTAGCTTTATTATATATGATCCTTATTATATTATCATGATCCTTTTACAAAATTTGTGTGTAATTGAATTCATTTATGTACATTTTTATTATATTTATTAATAGTACTTATACTTATGCGGCGATGTAAAATGACGTTAAGCAACGCCATGAGCTCCGTTAGAATCGGGAAGAACCTTTCCGAGCCGTTTGATACAAAATGAGGTTTCAGACAGGGTGACTCATGTCGTGTGACTATTTTAACCTAATGTTGGAAACGATAATCCGAGTAGCAGACTTGCGGATACTGATGATATTCCGCAAATATAAAATAAATCTGTTCGCTATTAAAATGAATTTTGAGAACATTTTGCACACAGCTGATCAAAATAATAAGTAGCAGTTTTTATTTAAAAAAATAAATGATTATCAAAAACTGTAATAAATAAATAAATAAATTTCACTCAATTTATAAATTTTACTAATAAATTATTAAAAGATGTAAAAAACTAATAATGAAATAATTCAGGTCAATTAACTGAGTTGTTATAAAAAATTTATATTAATGAAATAGTATGATTTTTGTCTTCATACCTACAAAACTGTAAGCGTGCTAAGTCATTTATTTAAACTCACGTTCCTGACACGTGTTTTAAAAATATTTTGAGTTAAACAGCACAAATATGATTTACAAAACAAATTATAATAAAATGTATAGATCGTCGTCAAAGTGCGTTTCAAGCTGTAATCTCTACTAAATACAAAAATAAATCTTAAAAAATTGTATTAAATGTAAATATTTATTTTCTACTCAATGTGACAGTCGTGTGACTGTTATTAATATATTTATAACAAAAATGTACATATAATTTTGATAAGCCTTTGCCAGAGAAGAATAGCAAAATCATCATTAAATATCAAATAAATATTGTTGCAAAATCATTTTATTATACTTATAAAACGCACATGCCAAAATTAATTTAATTTATATATGATTTTGATAATAATATTTTATTTGCATCTTAAAAAAACCCTAATAACAACTAATGAAAATTACTTATTTTTAACTTACGGAAATTTTAATTTCTGTTAATTTTATGTTATAAAAATGTATGACTTAGCAAAATCTTTTCTAATTAAAACAATGATAAAGCATAATCGCTTAATTAAATTCATGTTAATTTAAAAGTGTTATATAGCATTGATATTAATAAATAATGTCATAAAATATAGGGGGCAATAATTAGGAAGTTTCGATTCCAAACATATTAACTACGTTAATTACTTTAAATGTAGATAGTCCGTTAGTCTCTAATTCATATTAGTTATATGAACAAAACACTAAAATTGATGGATGAGAAGTGATACGTAGACCTCTTATGCCAAACCGTACGTATGATATTGCATGTGTACCACACACTTGCTTTGGTAACATGGTGCTATCTAATATATCGACTAAATATCTGTTCATCTATTTTGCAACTGCTCACAATTGCCAGACTTGACTATTAAATGCAGCTTCTAACTTTCTTAAATGTCTATCTAAAAAATGTTCGTTATTATTACCATTATTACCACATAGGCAGCTTGTGCGTTCAAATTTTTTCACTTCTTGAGCTATCTTATGTTATAATCTTATAACTTATTTCTCCTACGGAGGGATATAATTGGCTATGACAAAATCTGTTAAATCCTCTTCGTGAAGCGTGTATAAATCATTTGGATATATGCAAAATAAATGCTCAGTAAAATATGTCAACAGAGTGTTATACCAGTAGGTTCAACAAGGCTGTGATTAATTAAAGTAATTAAAGCTAGCATTTTCTAACTATACTCCAGTTCCATTGCTACCAGTAGAGTATATTTCATTGAAAGTGTGTATTCGGCGCCATTTCTATATAGACATATATATAAATTCAAAATTTATTTAGGTGCGTCTTTTAATTGAAATCTGTATTTATTGTTCATGGCGAATTTAGGTAGAACCATTGTGTATATTAATTATGAATTACTATACATTATTAAATTACTTTTCATTGATTTAGATCAAGGCTGTTCGAAGCACGATCCACGGACCACATGCCGCCCTCATATAATATATCTGCAGCCCGCGACATGTTTCCAATCTGCCACAATTACCCAAATTTTCTCTTGATGTATTTTGTTAAAATAATATTATTTTATTGGGACAACATATCCCAAAAAAATTTAAATGAATAAATTAATAAAACTAAATTTAGCATATAGCCGTATCTCCAAAAAAACCATGGACGAATGTATTTTTTTTCTACGGCCCTCCAATCTGCACAGTAATTGATATTGGCCCGCGAACATATCTGGTTTAGACAGCTCTAATTTAGATCATCAATAACAATCCGTACGAAGTGTTATCATAAAGCAACATCGTATATATATTATATTTTAAGAGTAAAAACATTCTCTGACATGATAGTTATACATATCATCTATTAATATTATTTTGACTGAATTGTAATTTAAATACCAGAAAGTGCTTCTTATTTTTTTATGAGGTAAAATATTGTTTGTAAGCATAAACATATTGACGTGTTGAAGTCATAATACTATTTATTAATATAGACTATATTATTGAAGCAGTCATTGTACTCCACTACCAACATTATTGTTTAATATTTTTAATTATCAGTGAATAGTACGAGGGCGGTTTGATAACTTTTTGAATAAAACAAATTTGGCAAATAAACCTTTTATTTTTCTAAATAATCACCTTTTAGCTCGATTCATTTAGTCCAGCGTTTTTCTAATTTTCTTATTCTCCACAAATAATAGATTTTCTCAAGGCTCTCAAAATACGCGTTTGTTTCGGTAATGACTTTTTCATTCGACTCAAATCTCTTACCGCCCAGCTATTTCTTTAGGTTTGGAAACAGAAAATAGTCACAGGGGGCTAAATCTGGAGAATATGTTGGATAGGGCAGCAGTTCGTATCCCAATTCGTGGATTTTGGCCATCGTGACTAGACAAGTGTGCACACGTGTATTATCTTGATGGAGAAGCAATTTTTTCTTCGCCAAATACGGTCGTTTTTGCTTCAAATCAACGTCGAATCTGTTCAAAAGCTTTGAATAATATTCGCCGGTGATCGTTTTACCTTTCTCGAGGTAATCGATGTGAATGACACCGCGTGCATCCCAAAAAACTGTGGTCATGACTTTGTTGGTTGACAGACTCTGTTTGACCTTCTTCGGTCTGCGTTCACTCCTAGCAACACACTATTTCCATTGTTCCTTATTCTCTGACGTGTTGTGATGGATCTATGTTTCGCCCAGAGTAACAAAACGGCGCAAAAATTCGTTCGGTTACGGCTGAACATCGCTAAACACTCTTTTGAAGTGGTCACACAATTGCGCTTATGGTCGAGTGTGAGCAATCGCGGCACCCATCTTGCGGAGTTTTTTCATGTCCAAATATTCGTGTAAAATATGAAGTACCCGTTCAATTGAGATATCTACAGCATGAGCCAACTCACGCACTTTCATTCTTCGATCATCCAATATCATTTCATGGATTTTATCGACGATTTCCGGCGTGATCACTTCTTTTGGGGACCTGAACGTTTGGCGTCACTAGTGCTGGTACGACCACAACGGAACTCTGTATACCACTTCTTAACCATTTAAATTGATGTTGCCGAGTCCCCGTAGTATTTATCAAGTCTTTTCTTAGTTTCAGTGATAGATTTTTTACGTAAAAAGTAATGCTTAATCAACACACGAAATTCACTTTTTTCCATTTTCGTAAAAATTGACCAGGTTGTCTGCTTTGAACGGCTATCAAACACCAACTTAACGACGTAGCTTGCTCAAAATTAGAAAGTTGCCCACTGGTAGATTACAGCTAACGGCAGCACTGTTGCATTTGGAGTAACTGCGCGGGAAATTCAAAAAATCGCTGACTTATCAAACCGCCCTCGTATATAGATTATTTTTCTTATATGCAGATAAGTTAAACAAGGATTTCACCTTTGAAACCTAATATTTAGACTACTTTCATAATAGACAATCTTACACATTCGATACAAATATAGAAATTTGTTGCTGTAGTATGCTGGTTCTGAAATGTTACCAATAATGGCTATTAAACCAAAATCAGTTTTTGTCAAATGATATATAAGATAATACATGAGAGTAAAAAATAATTGCCTCATTGGGTTTGTTTTTCTATAATTTGAAATCCTATAGCACTTAAAAAAACCAGCATATAATTCAAAGATAGTTATAGATGGCATAATAATAATAAATAACAAATCGTACAATTTCTAAAGAAAAATTCAAATATTTCACAATTTTCTAATGAATTGCTAATACGCGAAATGCGAATTACTTACTATATTTTACGGAGGCAGAGACGGAACTTAAAATCAGTAACGGAAAGATCAAGTTTTAACATAGCAATTTAAAAAACATTCATCAGCTCATAATTGAAAACTCATTGATTTATTTTAGTTGATTGAAATTGTTTGGAGAAGGATTACATATTTCTACACATTAGTATGTCGTCGATAGAATTTATATTGTGAAAATATTAAGCTCTTATACTCGGTATGGAATGATAAATATATCTTATACAGGATTCGCACAAGTTTTTTTTGTTATTTTAGCTGTCAAACATTTTCATTTTGCATTGAAAGCAAGGACAGTTGACAGCTAAAATTACAAACAAGGCTCCCGTTTGAAAAAAAAAATCCGAAGATATCATTTGTGATGAGTAGTTCTACTAATATTATTCGAACTGTTCGAAGGATTGTCAGTACAAATGTGTTGGAACACTATATGATGTACGAAGATTTACTGTCCTACGCTTTTGTATGAAATAGAACATAAATAAAATGAAACATTAAGTAATTTTTTTATTTCTATATCTTCTAGTAGCTCGGACATATCTAAATACTTGAAATATGGTCTCCTACAAGTTGAAACATTAATTATTGTTTCTTTTTTCTTTCGTTTTATTAATGTAACTAGTAAATATACTTAAGACTAACAAGCATTTTCAGTTTAATAAATTATAAATATTTACGCTGTTTATTAGAGAGGTCAGAGGTTTTTATAAGTTTTAATCTCCGTGCTGAGTGAGTTGCGTTGAATTATTGTATCATAACATTGCTCTTACTGGTGCATCCCCTTAGCTATATACCGTAAGTCCATACAGGCTTTAAAATTTGATTGTAAATCAGGAGTTTATTTTGTGACGATAACACTGAATGCCTACCGATTAACCATTTTATCTGCTCAATTTCTTGTTTTATCTTTTTCAAATGCTCTTTCCAACTTAGTTTAGCCTAAGGTCATGAGTCGCCATTGTTTCGTCCACTGATGAACATTATTAATGGCTAGCTGGAGAGTTTTAGTTGATTCCATTTCATTAGAACCAATTGAAAGTACAGCTGTATCATCAGCAAACATAGCAATTCTACAATTTTCTGTTACTGGGGTATCATTAGTAAATAAAAGAAAGTGTATAGTATCAAGGACGCTTCCCTGTGGAACACCCGCTTTAATTTCTTTTATGTTTGAGTAACAGTCTTCTTATTTAACTCGAAAATATCTATCTGTTATGTAAAGTTCTATAAGATCACAATATTGTTCTATGAATAGCATTTGTAATTTGCTCATACGACCTTGATGCCACACCTTGTCAAATGCCTGCGATATATCAAGGAACACTGCCGAACACACTTCCTTTTTTTTCCAAACAGTTTTTTATTATATTACTGATTCGATGGACTTGTTCAATTGTTGAGTGGCTGGTTCTAAAACCGAATTAAAGATTTGGAATTAGATTTTGTTTTTCTATAAGATTTGATAGTCGCTTTTTAAATGCTTTTTTATAAACCTTCGACAAAATGGGTAGCAAGGATATGGGTTTATATGAAGAAACTTCATATGCAGTTTTCCTAGGTTTGGCTACCATTATTACTTCAGCTACCTTCCAAAACGAGGGTACGTATCTCAGTTTGAACCATGCCTTGGTAAAAAATGTCAGAAATTTTTTTAAAAGTTCTTTAGAATCTCAGCGGTCAAGAGGTCAAATCCAGCAGCTTTTTTGAGTTTTAAATTCTTTTATTTCCTGAACAGAAGCTGGATGTATGCTCATTTCGCTGTTTAGTTTTATATTAGCCGAAATATTCTCTTCAGCATTTTCTGTTGTAAAAGTACTTTTAAGATATTCCGAAAAGACATCTGCCTTCTGCTGATTGCTTTTATACGGGTTTTCTTTTTTTACTATAGAACTATAAATATTTAAAAAGATTGTGGAATGATCAGCTTTATCCTTAATTTCCATAAAGCTTTTCTTGAAATAAAAAAGTCAACAAGATCAGGTATCTTACTTTGATCTATAGGCCAATAAGTAAGTTTTTCCATCGATATTGTTTCACAGCTAGATTGTTGAATAGCTTTTAGAAGTTCTGAACCCTTAGTCGTAATAAGTCTCGAACCTCAAAAAGAATTTTTAGCATTATAGGTTGGGGATCAGCATCGATTTTAATTGAAACTACATATCTGGAATTCAGAAGCTGTTAACTGAATTCCTTGGCGAT